AGTACATGTAACGTGTAGCAAGGACACCTTAAAATAAAGTGTTACCAGAATTTGTTCATACAGAATTTGGTATAAACTAAAAAATGATATACAAATAGGCCACTTAGTCATTTAAATGTGGCCAAATGCCTATTTGTGTAAACAAGCAAAACAGATAAAGACAAATTAAATACACAATCAAATAAATAAAATGATATTAAGTCCACATGTTTGTATGAATAACGCCTGATGAAGACCCAGTTTAGGTCAAAACATTGTAGTTTATTAAAGTTTTTATGGGAGCATTTAAAAAAAAAAAAACATGAATTCATGAATTAATTTACATTCAACCATAAACTCAATCTCAAAATTGTATTTGTCTACACATACACTACCATTCAAAAATTCAAGTATACATTCAAGTAATAAATAATACTTTTACTGAAGGATGAATTCAATTGATTTTTTATTAAGAAAAAAAAATCAAATGAATCTATTTTTTTTTTAATGCTGTTCTTTTGAACTTTATATCCATCAAAGATTAGAAAGAAATATTTAGCAGCACAACTGTTTTCAACACTGTTAATAATAAGAAATGCTTCTTGTGCATCAAATCAGCATATTAGAATGATTTCAGAAGAATGGAAGACTGGAGTAATGATGCTGAACATTCTGTTTCACTGAATACGGTTTTACTATATTTTTGATCAAATAAATGCATCCTTGGTGAGCATTAAGCGACTTTTTTCCAAAAACATAATAAAACAGTACTTACCCCAAAAATTTGAATGGTAGTTTATGTCACAAATACCTGAGCTAAATATTAGAATTGGATATAATTATGAGGGCATAGAAAATATCTGATTATCCAGTGTAACGTCATTATAGTTTTATAATATGTAGGCTACCTTGAGTGTTATGGATCTCAGTATCATTATAACATGCTTCAGTTCATAAGCAGACTGTTGTTGTATTTGGAATAAGATGGCTCTCCTCTCTCCCTCAGGCTCCAGGAAGATGGAGCATAAAGGAAACAGCTGGCATGAGACCTGCTTTACCTGCCAGCGCTGCCAGCAGCCGATTGGCACCAAGAGCTTCATCCCCAAAGACAACCATAACTATTGCGTGCCCTGCTACGAAAAGCAGTTTGCCATGCAGTGTGTTCACTGCAAGAAGGTAGAGTGCACAGTTGAAGGAACCTACAAACTACAACAAGCTAGGCTACAGGAATTAAACATACAGGCTACAAGTACATTAAACGTTTTAAGACTCCAGTCAACTATGAGTGAATATACAAATAGGCCACTTAGTCATTTAAATGTGGCCAAATGCCTATTTGTGTAAACAAGCAAAACAGATAAAGACAAATTAAATACACAATCAAATAAATAAAATGATATTAAGTCCACATGTTTGTATGAATAACGCCTGATGAAGACCCAGTTTTGGTCAAAACATTGTAGTTTATTAAAGTTTTTATGGGAGCATTTAAAAAAAAAAAACATGAATTCATGAATTAATTTACATTCAACCATAAACTCAATCTCAAAATTGTATTTGTCTACACATACACTACCATTCAAAAATTCAAGTATACATTCAAGTAATAAATAATACTTTTACTGAAGGATGAATTCAATTGATTTTTTATTAAGAAAAAAAAATCAAATGAATCTATTTTTTTTTTAATGCTGTTCTTTTGAACTTTATATCCATCAAAGATTAGAAAGAAATATTTAGCAGCACAACTGTTTTCAACACTGTTGATAATAAGAAATGCTTCTTGTGCATCAAATCAGCATATTAGAATGATTTCAGAAGAATGGAAGACTGGAGTAATGATGCTGAACATTCTGTTTCACTGAATACGGTTTTACTATATTTTTGATCAAATAAATGCATCCTTGGTGAGCATTAAGCGACTTTTTTCCAAAAACATAATAAAACAGTACTTACCCCAAAAATTTGAATGCTAGTTTATGTCACAAATACCTGAGCTAAATATTAGAATTGGATATAATTATGAGGGCATAGAAAATATCTGATTATCCAGTGTAACGTCATTATAGTTTTATAATATGTAGGCTACCTTGAGTGTTATGGATCTCAGTATCATTATAACATGCTTCAGTTCATAAGCAGACTGTTGTTGTATTTGGAATAAGATGGCTCTCCTCTCTCCCTCAGGCTCCAGGAAGATGGAGCATAAAGGAAACAGCTGGCATGAGACCTGCTTTACCTGCCAGCGCTGCCAGCAGCCGATTGGCACCAAGAGCTTCATCCCCAAAGACAACCATAACTATTGCGTGCCCTGCTACGAAAAGCAGTTTGCCATGCAGTGTGTTCACTGCAAGAAGGTAGAGTGCACAGTTGAAGGAACCTACAAACTACAACAAGCTAGGCTACAGGAATTAAACATACAGGCTACAAGTACATTAAACGTTTTAAGACTCCAGTCAACTATGAGTGAAATAGTGTTCTTTGCAATGTGTTAGTGGTATACTGCACATTTTGAAAAATCCAGCCTAAAGATAATCTGCATACTGTATAAAGAGTGAAGAAATCTGTTAATCTGATAGTCAATGTCATCTCCTTCTTCCTTCTCCGTGTAGCCCATCACCACTGGCGGTGTGACGTACCACGACCAGCCGTGGCATAAGGACTGTTTCCTGTGCACTGGCTGTAAGCAGCAGCTCTCTGGCCAGCGCTTCACCTCTCGTGATGACTTTGCCTACTGCCTTAACTGCTTCTGCAACTTGTTTGCCAAGAAATGTGCCTCCTGCACCACCCCCATCAGTGGTATGTACAAGCTAACAAATACAACTATAAATAGAAATAGCTTCTATACAGAAATACCTCAATTATGTTAAAACCGATAATGTATGGTGGTTTGAAATCAGGGTTGTGTGCCAGTCAGAATTAAATTGAGAATGAGTTTTAAATTCCTTGAATATAAAATGTAGCACAGTGTTGTTATTGTTAACTAAAATTAAAACTACTATAATTATTTGTGTTAACTGAAATACAACTGAAATATAACTATTAGATTAAAAACGTATAAAACTTAAAATTAGAATTGTTGTCTTGGCAACTAACTGAAATAAAATATGTTTGAGCTGAACTAAAACTAAAACGGAAATCTATAGGACTATTTAAAAACATCAATAAAAATGAAAAAGCACATAAAGTTACTAAAACAAACACATTACAATGAAAACTGAACTGAAAAAGTTAAACTAATTAAAAATATTAATGCTAAAATAGTATATATATATAAAATAACACTGGTGTAGCAAACAGGATCCGGAATTATGATTTGAATTTAAGGATGTTGAATTGAAATGGAATTAAATTTAAAGAAATGTATAAAATGTAATATGTGACCCTGGACCACAAAACCAGTCTTAAGTCGCTGGGGTATATTTGTACCAACAGCCAAAAATACATTGTATGGGTCAAAATTGTCAACATTTTTATTTTATGACAAAAATCATTAGGATATTAAGTAAACATCATGTTCTATGAAGATATGTTGTAAATTCCCTACCATAAAAAACGTAATTTTTGATGAGTAATATGCATTGCTAAGAACTTCATTTGGACAACTTTAAAGGCGATTTTCTCAATATTTAGATTTTTTTGCACCGTCAGATTCCAGATTTTCAAATAGTTGTATCTCGACCAAATATAGTCCTATCATAACAAACCATACATCAATGGAAAGCTTATTTATTCAGATGATGTATAAATCTCAATTTTGAAAAATTGACACTTAAGACTGGTTTTGTGGTCCAGGGTCTCATATTTAATGACAAATTTCATTATTTATATATCATTATGTACACTATATATAATTTTAGTACTTTTAAAGTCACTTTAATAATACATTGTCTCATTATATTTAATAAATTAATTTTCATTTAATGGACCAGAATGTTCCCCGAAGTTGCAAAACTCCTCAACAGAAATTCCTATTTCAACATCCCGTGGCACATGGCCAATTCAAATTCCAAAAACTGAAAGGAATGAAATTCTCAAATTCTGAATTTTGCTCAACCGCCCCCATTTCAAAAAGTTGCTAGCACTCATAACTTGTTTGTCACATAGGACTCGGAGGAAGCAAGTACATCTCCTTTGAGGAGCGCCAGTGGCACAACGACTGTTTCAACTGCAAGAAGTGCTCAGTGTCTCTGGTGGGCAGAGGTTTCCTCACTGAGAGAGATGACATCCTGTGTCCCGAGTGTTGCAAAGACATGTGAAAGCGTGCAAGAAAAATGCAAACATGCATGACACTTAACATGTTAAACCAAAGCATGAAACAGTGTGAGCAATGAATACATTTAGGTACTCCATGAAAACATAGCAAACATTGATGAAGCAAAGATTATAATAGTGTATGAATAGCAAGAGGCAGACTTTCTTTATTTCAGGAGAGATATTTCAGCTTGCTTTAACTTGAAGACTGAGGAAGAGAATTTATTCTAAAGATTAAACTGACAAATGTGAGGATAATTACCATTATTATCTCTATTAATTGTCTAACTGGCTCTCTGATATGTTGGATAACCCTAACTTGCAAAAAGTATTTTGGTCTTTTTGTGTATCTAACAGTTAAGGATGAATTCTAAATAAAGTACATTTAATGCAATATCAATAAAGCTTATTAAAACAAATTGAATGCATGTTGTTTTTTTGTTTCTCTAATTGAATGACATGAACTGGACTATTGCACTAGCAAGCACTCAGTACAGATCAAACGATAAAACAGGACAATAGAGCCACCTAGTGTTCACAATGCCCATGCAACACAATGTGCATCCTCTTATCATGACATATGCGAAATTAATGTTGTCAGTTAGTCAGTCATGATCTTAAAAGCTTTTGATGTACAATAGGCGTTAAGTTCATGCTTTAATGCTTGAAATTAGTACTGCATACAAATGTAAATTGTGTCCAAGTATGAATTTCTTGGAGTAGGAGCACATAGTGAAGGGACAGGGGAACTTCTCTATTAATTGTCTAACTGGCTCTCTGATATGTTGGATAACCCTAACTTGCAAAAAGTATTTTGGTCTTTTTGTGTATCTAACAGTTAAGGATGAATTCTAAATAAAGTACATTTAATGCAATATCAATAAAGCTTATTAAAACAAATTGAATGCATGTTGTTTTTTTGTTTCTCTAATTGAATGACATGAACTGGACTATTGCACTAGCAAGCACTCAGTACAGATCAAACGATAAAACAGGACAATAGAGCCACCTAGTGTTCACAATGCCCATGCAACACAATGTGCATCCTCTTATCATGACATATGCGAAATTAATGTCAGTTAGTCAGTCATGATCTTAAAAGCTTTTGATGTACAATAGGCTTTAAGTTCATGCTTTAATGCTTGAAATTAGTACTGCATACAAATGTAAATTGTGTCCAAGTATGAATTTCTTGGAGTAGGAGCACATAGTGAAGGGAAAGGGGAACTCCTTAAATCTCAAATTTAAAAGCAATGTGTAAAAGCATCCCAGGATGCACCTAATGAAGTGGGCTGAGTGCATGTTCAGAGAAAGTACAGCTGGAATTTAGACAAAAGGTTGTTCCACAAACCACTTGGTTACAAATAATTAATATCCATTCGTACCATTTTATAGTTCTAATGATTAAGAATATTTTCAACATTTAAGAATAATAGTATAGCATAAGTAGGTGTGTTTAAACTTTTACAGGAGTGCACATTGTAATGATAGGATTTGGTTATAGGAATTCAGGAAAACACGCAAACCTTTCTCCTGGGAAGGAGAAAAGTTTGCAATGAGCTGGACGATGGCATCACTGAATCAATGATGAACTGACTTTAAGACACTGACTGTCCTCTTGCATTATTGACACACTATTTTCCTGTTTAATGCTGTAAAGCTGCTTTGACACAATCTGTATTGTGCTATATAAATAAAGGTGATGTTTCGTTCTGTGATTTCAATGTCTCCTCTGGGACAAAAACCTGAGAAGCAACTGCATGGAAAACAAGCATCTCTAATAAGAGGCAGTAGAGTGTTTGAAAGCAGAATAGAGAGAGAGAGATGAGTGAGAGAATGAGTGAGCTGATAGAGAGAGTGTGAGCTGACAAGAGCGAAAGAGAACAAAGTGGAAGTTCTGTGAGCTCTGACTGGAGACACTAGAAATATAAAGGAATGAGACAATGCTGAAAAGATGAGACGAACAGATCTAGCAGCACAATAGGAGCCATAATTGTGGTCATAATAAAAAAACAGGTAATTAGCCAAAACACAAAAAAGGCTTCCCATACTCAATATGACCATTGAGGTTATTGTCAGGAAATTCCAGCCAAAGCCTGGATCAAGAACAACCAGGATTGTGCACCATTTAGAACTGAATGTCATTTAAATTCATTCATCAAAACTCCAAAAACCTTGGTAAATTTGAAATTAGTTATTGTCATTCGAATTTACTGTTCAAAAGTTTTAGAGTGCAAAAAACTGATTAAAAGTAACCGCAAAGTCGGCGCTTCGGGCGTCCTGAGTTCAAGTCCTGGCTCCCGGACCTTTCCCGATCCTGCCCCCCTCTATCTCACACTTCGATTACTATCCTATCGAAATAAAGGCATGAAACAGCAAAAATAAATAAAAAATGACAGCAAAGACTTATATATTAAGACTTAACATTTATAATGTTACAAAAGATATTTATTTGAAATAAATGCTATTGTTTTGGACTTTCTATTCATCAAAGAATCCTGAAAAAAAAAAAAACGACAACGTCTCACGACTTCCACAAAAACATTAGGCAGCACAACTTTTCGCAAGATTGATAATACGAAGTCATGTTTCTTCAACAGCAAAACAGTATATTAGAATTTCAGAAAGATCATGTGACACTGAAGACTGGAGTAATGATGATGAAAATTCAGCTTTGCATCACAAAAATAAATTATACATTTTTTACAATTTTGCTGTTTTTATTGCATTACATGCAAAAAAAAACCTACCAACCCCAAACTGTCAACTGTATTGTACATGTAACAAAGCAGGACAGCTACGGAATTCATATATCATACATATTTAATAAATAAACTTTTAATTTATGGATTTTTTTACAGTACATTTGAGTTTGACTGATCCAGTATTAACTTGAGTGGATTATACTTTTTATAATATTATAATTTTGGGGGTAATTCCAGACTTAAAAATGTAAAAAAAAAAAAAAAAAAGAATCGCAAAAAACATTATCAGTGCTCTCAGCCGTTTATTTTATCAGGCTTGTTGTCACTAAAAACATTCCATGCAGTTCAATAAAAACTCAATTCATAATGTCTAGAAAAGACCACCACTAAAACACCGACATGTGAAACACCCTTCATATTGCTTTCTCAATTAAATACATCAGTGCATGATGCAACACACATCACAACTGAATTTTGGCACTGTGGGGGCTATAAATACAAAAAACGGTCAAGGAATTTACCTGATATTGGCCAAAGCACTTGGACAGGCCTATCCCGATCAATGCAAACATTTTGTTGGAGAAAAGAGATTTCTTCAAAATGCCACTCAGTTCAAGCACATCCAGTTACTCTGAATACTCCCATGTCAGTAAAACACAGCAGACATCCGACACAGACCAACGGAAAGCATGTCCATTTTCCATCCATTTCCTCTTAGTGGGTTTGATTCACCAACATGATTCACTCACAACGGAAAGTTTGTTCATTGCAAGAAAGATATTTCTATGAACATATTGCTAAAAAAGTGAAAAACTGATCAGTCTAACATAAAACTGCTAGGAATGTCTCAGTTCCTTCACCACACATCAAGTCAAAAGCCGATGCGTTGCCTAGTGTGAAATGAACCAGTGGGTCACATTTCACAAGTCACCTTTCCTGAGGCTGGTGAGTAAAGATGAAAGTGACAACTTGAGATGTGTGACAAGAACCCATCTTTCAAATTCATGTGTCTCATTATGAGTCTCTCTTTGCCTCAGAGACCCAGCAGACAATGTCAGTGGCGTTAACCGTCCATCCTAGATGACTTCACAGATTATGGCCATGTGATATGTTGAATCTTTTTCTTTGTATCAGGTGACTTAATGTCCTTCTGCCACAAAAAAATAAAAGAATTAATAACAGAAAACCTAAAAGATTAACTCTTATCTACACCACACAACACCTGCCAAGTTAAATAAGCGCTTTTTCATGGTGTTAGTTTGATACTCACACTAGTGTTGGGTTCTCCATCGCTGGGGGACGTGCGTTTTAGCTTCGACGTGGTATTGTTTGAATGTACTGAGGAGTTGGCAGTTTTGGAGTGATTACAGGGGCTCTTGGGACCGGCCCCTGGTGATGACACTGGGGTCTTGTTAGAGGAATCTGAGGAAGAGCAGTTTGTAGAGGTCCCAGAGAGCTTGCGTATGGGGTTTGTGAGATTGATGCTGGAAACCGGGGGCTTTAGTCGGTCTGTGGTGACAGGTGCTGGTGAAGGATCAAGTTTCTTCAGCTTAACACTGCCAGTGTTAGTAGAGCTGCCGTCAAACACAATCAACGGCCTCTTCCTGTCACTATCAGCGCTTGAACTGAAACCAAACAGAGTTATAATATAAAGGAAACAACTTTGGACATTTTCATTCAGGTGCATAACAGCAATCAATCAATAAATATATATATATATATATATATATATATATAAAATAGCCATAACAATATAAAATATTATATAATTACTCACAATTTCTTCTCGAATAAATTATTATTATTATTTTCATTCTGCATATTCTGAGCTGTGCATCAAGTTCAGTTAAGAAGCATGCAACCAATCAAGTGTTTTCATCAAACAAGCAACGTCAATGAGATTTCAAAGCTTCAGCAAAAAGAAAGCGCATCAGTTATTATTACAAAGCTGTCTGGAGTTAAATATTTCAGAATAATGACCATTGCACATTTGTATGCATGCATGTATAGCACGTATAGTACGTACTTGCATAAACTAGTGTTCAAAAGTTTGGGTGGGTATTTATTTATTTATTTTTTAATACATGTTTTTGAAAGTCCTCTGTATGTCCGCCAAGGCTGCATTTATTTGATCAAATATACAGTAAAAACAGTAATATTGTGAATTATTATTAAAATTTAAAATAACTTTACTATTTTATATATTTTAAAATATCATTTATTTCTGTGATGGCAAAGCTGAATTTTTAGCAGCAAGTCTTCAGTGCCACATGATCCTTCAGAAATCATTCTAATACGCTGATTTGGCACTCAAAAAAACATTTATTATTATTATCAATGTTAGAAACAGTTGTGTCGTGGAAACCATGATACAATTTTTCAGGCCTCTTTAATGAATAGAAAGTTCAAAAGAACAGCATTTAAAAAAAAGAATGTTTTTGTAACACGTTTGATCAATTTAATACATCCGTCCTGAATAAAAGTATGCATTTCTTTAAAAAAAAAAACACGATGGATGGGAGTCAATTACATTAGATTCAATTTAATAAATGAGAGAATGTTCCTTCAAGCATTTGATGTGAGAGTGTGCAGCACCTGCTGGCGGAGCTCGGACGCGCTCGGCTTCTCTCCATCCTCCTCCCCCAGCGGCCGCCGGGCAGATCTCTCTGCGGGAGAGGAATGACATGCCGCAGGTACAGATCTGTGAGCCGCTCACGGTCCTCATCATCACCCACTGCAATCTTCCTCTGAAACACAACACAGGCACTATTCGTTTGCTGTTGTTGGTACTGGTTATTTCATCATTCCTTAGACTTCAGGATTACTTACTAGCAGTGTTTGAAATTAACTTTTTCACTCACCAGCCAATTTGGCTACTAAATTTTTAAGTTACCGGCCATTCATAATTTCTACTAGCCAAAAAAATTAAACAAATAAATTGTGAAAAAAAGCCCGGAGATAAGCCAACAGCTTGAGGCTGTCCACACTGGATGCGACAAAGTGACCATTGCAAATAATTTGTACTTTGTCAAACAGTAGGCCTACGTCATAAATAGAACGAGGCATCAGTTTACTGTCGGGGATTTGTCGTGCTGTGCTGCGCCACATCCAGTGTAGGCCGCATCACAGATTATAATGGGTTCTATAGTATTTTGTCGCATCTGGTGTAGACACGGTGTGTGAGTCTTCAGGCATTTTTTGACTTTTCGTTATTGTAAAAGTAACCCGCCAAATTGGCTAGTGATTTGACAGCGTTACCCGCCACAGCTGATTTTTACCCGCATTTGGCGGGTGTTAATTTCAAACCCTGCTTACTAGATCTGATAAACTTGTACTTTACAGAAAAGCATGAGCTCACCAAAAACAACTATATATATATTATGTTCATACAAGAAACAAGCACGTTATGTGATGTAACGTTAGTCTATAATAACCCGACAGGTTTCATGTGGCTCCTAATCTCACCTCGTGTAACATAAACTGAATGAACTCGTGAGAAAGAAGTTCTGGATGAAGCAGAAGGTCGATTTTGGAAACATCTCCAGCATTTGATGTGGAGGGTTTCGTTCTGTCTGCCCTGTGTGACGCCATGTTTCTCATCGATTTCCGGAGAGCGCAGGAAGAAGCGCTTTTGTGAGAGGCGTTATCAGCGCTTGACCATTACTGCCACCTCCAGTAAAATGTGTGTTAGGACAGAATGAAACAGAATCGTCTACATTAAGATTGAGTCAACGCATGAGCGAATTTGACATACTTTTCAATCAAAATAAAAAACATTTACTAATATGACAAAGTTGTTTCATATTTACACCTGCTTTTGCACATCGATGTACAGCCCCAAAATAACTTCAATCCATCTGATTTTTACCCGCATTTGGCGGGTGTTAATTTCAAACCCTGCTTACTAGATCTGATAAACTTGTACTTTACAGAAAAGCATGAGCTCACCAAAAACAACTATATATATATTATGTTCATACAAGAAACAAGCACGTTATGTGATGTAACGTTAGTCTATAATAACCCGACAGGTTTCATGTGGCTCCTAATCTCACCTCGTGTAACATAAACTGAATGAACTCGTGAGAAAGAAGCTCTGGGTGAAGCAGAAGGTCGATTTTGGAAACATCTCCAGCATTTGATGTGGCGGTTTTCGTTCTGTCTGTCCTGTGTGACGCCATGTTTCTCATCGATTTCCGGAGAGCGCAGGAAGAAGCGCTTTTGTGAGAGGCGTTATCAGCGCTTGACCATTACTGCCACCTCCAGTAAAATGTGTGTTAGGACAGAATGAAACAGAATCGTCTACATTAAGATTGAGTCAACGCATGAGCGAATTTGACTTACTTTTCAATCAAAATAAAAAACATTTACTCATATGACAAAGTTGTTTCATATTTACACCTGCTTTTGCACATGGATGTACAGCCCCAAAATAACTTCAATCCATGTTACTGATGGATGGAATGAACAGACAATTAATAGGCAAATATTTGGCCATTTACAGCTATAAGCACTGGGTGATAACCATATCAACTAAACATTTTATTCATTTGTTGTGCATATTGTGTATTTCACTTCATCAATTTTGTGTATCTTATTAGCTAACAGGATATGTTATTACATCTATAGGCATTACATTGGCCATCCGCCACTCTGCTCTCTTGACACTGGTACCAGCTTGTCACAGGAAAACTTATTGGTCAACCAATTTTTCAGTATCGACAGGTTTCTATATTGACAGTATTTATATAGGCGTATAGTTACCAAGTCACTGATTATTAATAATAATAATAATAATAAAAAACTAAAACTGACAATCTGCAATTGTGGCTTTACTGACAATGCCACATTTATAAAGATAATACATTCCAAATGAAAGATTTCAGGAATGGTTTGAGTGTCTATGATGTTTTATGCAAATTGCATGAACAAAATTCTTCAGTCAAACTGGTAAAATGAATGAAAACAGAATGTATAAATCATAAATCTATTGTGAAACCTAAGACTTTCACTGTTATATATATATATAAATAATAATAATAATAATAATTTATGAACAACATGCATGCAGTTCAACTCTCACCAGTCCTGCAGTTTCACTTTGGGACTGGTGTTCAAGGCAAACTCAAGGTGGTTAAGATTACTGACAAGCATAGCTTTAATGTGGGAGAATATATCATATATTTGAAATTGATATGAAAAAGGTCATGGGTTGCACAGAGAGAAAAAATGTACAGCTTGAATGCACTGTAAGTTGCTTTGCTTAAAAATGTCTGCCAAATGCATAAAATATGAATGCAAAAAAAAAAAAACCTCACTTAACCATGAATAAATTCTGTCAAAAATGTGCAGTAAATCACCAGCTTAGTTACTTTATTTGCCAATTTTTCGTTTTTACAAAATTGCAGAACATGTAAAATCTTTCCAACAGAAAAATAAAGAAATGACCTATAGTTCAGGAACATATATGAATATTGCTTTGATGAATTTCCGACAGCAGATGCTGTTTCCTTCATCACTGCAGATTATGACCGGAGGAGTTATTTGTCAAGTATTCAATTCATAAGTGTTCAATCGTCATATCTAAACATCATCTTCCATTCGTGGTCAGTTTGAAGCATACTTTGGTGCAAATCCTAGACAGAAGACTGGGTCTCACTGCTGCACACATAGATGTTGCTGGGTCTTATACGCCTGCGACTTCGCCCAGGAATCTTGGGACAGAGATGACAGGTCTTGGGCATGAACTCTAGGCAGGCTTCACGAAACTTTCGGATTCTCCAGCAGTATATCACCGGGTTGAAGACCGCTTTGAGGTAACTCAACCACAGTGCCCCGATGCTGATGGGGTAAAAGGCCGGGCTGAGGTAGAAGCGTCTACTGAACACCGCCAGCAGACTCACCACAGTATGTGGCAGCCAACACACGGAGAAGCCAATGAACAGGATGAGGATGGTGGTGAAGGCCCTGGTTTTGAAACTCATGTCCACATTGACTTGGGGTCGCTGCAGACCAGTTAAACCCAACTTGCTGATGTGGCTGATAGCGACGCTGCCTTCGCTGGTGTGATTGTGGATGCGCAGTGCATTGTGTCGAACTGTGTTGAGAATACACAGATAGCAATACAACATCACACCAAATGGCGTGAAAAAAACAGCGACTGCAAGCAGAACTGTGTAAGCCCGGTCCGCCAGTGATTCACTGAATCCCAGAATGCATTGCGGTACTTGCGCCCCAATCCCAGCTGTCCTCCAGCCGACAACAGACGGTAGGGACACGCAAAGCGACAGAGCCCATGACGCGGCAATAAGGATTTTCGCCCGATGGGGCGTTAGCTTGTCCTGACGCTGAACTATAATGAGGAACCTATCGACGCTGATGATCAGAAGGATGGACACACCTTCTAGAACAAACAGCCAGTACAGCATGACGGATATGCGGCAGAATCCCACTCCAAAGCTCCAGTCTGTAGTTGCGAGAGTGACGGCGGTGAATGGCATGCATAGCAGCGACAGCATGATGTCAGAAAAAGCCAGTGTGGCCAGGAGCAGATTAATCGCTGAACGCATGGCTGGCTTCTGATACACTATCAGACACACAATGGCATTGCCAAGAAAACCAATGGTGATCATGAAGATCATGATGGCAGCCAGTGCCACCCTGAGAGTGGTGGGCATAAGGGCAGTATCAGACTCTTGCATCTCAGTTTCTTCTGGTTCAAGAAGACCACACCCCTCCAATGAGCTGCCATTACATTTAAACATGGCAGCTATTACCAGGTATCATCCATCCAAGGCTGGAAAGTCATAGCTAAATCTTTGCCACTGTCCTGTGAGATCCCATTATTTGAATTCCTCTCAACACTGAAGACACTGTAAATCATTACCTGCAACAGAAGACCATAAGTGTGGTATAGTAATAATATGCATACATTCATTTACACTACCGTTCAAATGTTTAGGGTCAGTACAATTTTTTTTTAATACTATTATTCAGCAAGGATGGATTAAATTGATAAAAAACATTCTATTCATCAAAGAATCCTGGGGAAAAATGTATCACGGTTTCCACAAAAATATTAAACAGAACAACTGTTTTCAACAATGATAGTAATAAGAAATATTTCTTGAGCTGCAAATCAGCATATTAAAATGATTTCTGAAGGATCATGACACTGAAGACTGGAGTAATGACTGCTGAAATTAGCTTTGTTAACACAGGAAAAAATAAAATAAATTACACTTTAGATAAATTGCATTTTTAAATATAATCAAATAGAAAACAGTTATTTTAAATTGTAAAAATATTTCACAATATTACACAATGTATTTCTGATCAAATAAATGCAGCCTTGGTGAGCATAACACGTTTTACAAAAAAGAAAAGAAAAATTATTTTTTCACAAAATGCAATTACATTATCATCCAGCTCATTATAAAAAGTTGGATATATAAATATGTCCGCAAACATCTAGTATACTCCCGCAGTGCGATATATACTATATAGCAAATCTCAATGGCAATCACAAAATGTCAACTATTTATCACCCAGCTCTAATCTGCTTAATGCAACTATAAGGCATGATGATATGAAGATATTATAAACATCAATATCATCACTGTCTTTAAAGATGCTTCGAACAAATTGAGAAAAGTGTTACATAAATAAATTCGACTTGACTTGATTTAAAAGGTTTTTCTAAACAGCTTTTGTGTTCTGCTGAAGAATGAAAATCATACAGGTTTAAAAAGACATGAAGGTAAGTAAATAATGACAAAAACCCAAAAATAATAGTTTTGGGTGAACTATCCCTTTAAGAGCACAGAGGTGCTATCTGTGAAAGGATTTCAGTGACTGACATTTTTCTGACACCACATGAGAATTGCATAATCAGCAAAGACATGGTGAAAACATTTTTGTAATAATGACATCTTTTTGCTTAAACATCTGTAGAGCAATCTGCGCGCAGCACAATATGAGCAATATGGTGAGCACATACAAACCACAATCATCATGTTTACAGATGAAAGAGGGAATGATGCTCACTCAGAGGATGCTGCTGTTGCCATGGTTACACTGGGCTGTTCTTTGCTAAGGATAGTGCAGATATAAAGGGGAATGTAAATTCCAAAAATTCATCACACGTCTCTGCATGTCATCCTCTGACACCTCCATTGTCCTATAAAAGACCAGAATACCTGCAAAACACACAGCAGGGCAGTTACACATACATCATTTCAGCTTTATAAATGTTGGTGTCAATCTATTTAAAAACTCCCATGTAATTCCCAGTATATGGAGACTACAATATAATACAATCCATTGGGCATTAATAGGTCATTATCAGCATGTAATATTTAAGGTTTTTGGGCATAGTGTGGATCAGACACTGGGGTACAGGTGACAACACAAGTTGATATGACAGACAGAAGCATGGGAATCAAGTAATAGTATCTAAATATCCTATGAAATATGCAGAATGCTGTTTTGTACAATGAAATGTACTATGGAATATAAAATATGTGAAACATATAATAATGGAATAACAACAAAATAAGAATAAATATACAATGAAATACGTGTTATGTACAATTAAATATATATGTAATGTAGTGTACAACACAATGCAGTATATGCATTCATGTAAATTCTGTACAATG